TGTCTTAGTTACTTACTTTGCTCCTGGTTTATAAAATCAAGCATGAGCTTAAGTCCGTACCAGATGAGGCTCTTACACTTTATGTGAAACACTCAGGCCCCTAAAATTAGAGGCCCCTCAAATTAATGCAGAAGCCCCAAATTTAACACAGAGAACACAGAACACTTTCTTTTCTTCAGTTACAATGTCCATGAGGCAGATGAAATTTTGGGCCCAAAGTTCTTGACAATGTACCTGCAATCAAATTACTTACATGGTTAATATAAAAGCTTGAACGCATAAATTACTTTACTTACCTAAAGCTGTTGTGTAAGCATTTGGAAAGCTTTTGTCTATCCTCTGCCTCATGAAGACCCAGCTGTTGTTCTCAAACCTGCACTCTATAATTTTATTGTCGTACTGTTTTAATTCTTTTGTCACCTGTTTTTAAAAAGAAGTTTAAAGATAATCATACTGTATTAAAAAAGTTGAAAGGCACTTTTCCTTTACTTTGGGGTAAGTAACAGAAGGCCAAATACTACCCTGCAATTGCTCATAACACTTTTATTCCACACTAAAAGCTGCACAGTTCAATGTCTCCACTCCGCTATACATATGCTCATTTACTCAACACTTTTTCAAATATGTTTGAAATCCACTGTCAATATGCAGTCGTTATATTATGCTAATACATCAGCAGCCCTAGCGAAGAAAAAAGTTGCTTTTGGCCCAAATGAAAATAGGTTTCCAAGGGGATAAACTGCTTCCACTATATGTGCTACTAAATAAACAAAACATATCATCTGTTTTGCACCAACCTTCATTGTTGAAAGTCATAAAGCCAAATGTCAGATTTCAGTATCACAATTAGGTTATGAAAAATCATCCCACTCTTTGTTTTCAGGGATTATTTCCCCCCCCTTTTTTAAAAAAAACCCAGGGAATTCTAATTCTGAGGGAACACACATTTCCAATGGCATGTTTTAAATATCCATCAGGTTTCTTTTCTTCATTCATTCATACTTGTCAGGTAGCGGCCAATATCCTTGACTATTTGCCTTTCTATTAAATGATACTCGTACTTCCCATTTGTTTTTGTTACTTCATCCTTTGCATTTGAACGTATAATACAACACAAATTGTTCAAGTAACCATGGAAACTCGAGACCTTATCTAACACTGTAGCAATTCCCCTCCAACATTCTTTAGTTTGCTCTAAGAAGCTGTTTCCCAAGTGTAAACCAAGGACCGCCAGTGAGGAACGCACCCTGCTCTCTTGCTCCCAGTCAGCACATGCCAGATTACAGAAATGAGGCGGTTATAGCCAGTCAGACCCCTGACCGAGTGGACACAGCTTTTTTCTCCAGAAGAGGTGCTGGACATGGCCTGGAGGTGGTTCACATTTAGCCATGAGACAAATGCTTTTAACTAAGGCCAGTCAGTCGTAAGACTTTCCCAGAAAAGTGTCAGGTTTGGCACTCTATATCAGTAACTTGAAAGAAACTCATTTTTCAGCTGAAGTGAGTTCTTTTTAAAACCATTTAATTTCCAAAATGAGCTTTGTGATCACCAAGATGAGGGGAATCATTTCCTGTTTGCATGATTAGATAATTCTCCAATTTATTTGTCTTTTCCTTTTTTAGAAAGCCTCTTTGCATAGCACATTAGTTCTCTGTACATGTGTTCAAATCTATCAGTCAAACATCTGGTTAGAATATAACACATTCAGTTAACATATTTATGTTTCATTGGCTATGTTCAGGAAAACACAACATCCTTTTCGAATCCACTGTGGATGTTTAAACACAGGAAGAAACTTTTGGCTGTGTAATGATCTGGAAAGGTATAATACTTTGAAAATAGCTGCCAAGGAAAAAGAATTATATACCTTTTCCCCTGCCAAAGCAGGAAAATGCTGTTAGAGGAATCACCTGCTAGAAACAGATAGTCAACTGTAGCCAGTAACTTTCACTAACAATCTCAGTAAGGCTTTGTCATATAGTTTATCATTCTTCTAGTGTTCAGATGCTCAGAATAGCAATAAATTATGTGTTTGCTCAATCTGACTGTGGCAATTAAGCAGTATTATTAACTATCTGTATACTTGCTTGGCCACTCATTAGCAATCTGGGAGATGGATCTTTCCAGAAATACAAACACCTGCCAATGCACTGACCTAAATGCATTTCCCTGCTGGAAAGCTGCTGATCATAGTCTTTAACAATTGCAAGTTATAGCAATTATCTTACCAAAGAAGAAGAACAGAAGCTATCATTTATTATTAAATGACCTTGGTCTTATAAAAAGCACTTGCCTTAATGTTTAAGGGCACTTTCTTTTAGGGGTTGTGGAACATTTTATTGAGTGCAAAAAGTACCTTGAGCACAACGTAAACTTTCAATGAGAAAAATATTGAAAAATACTTGACTATCACTGCATTCTTCTAGGCTTGTCAATGAGTAGATTTTTACAGAGGACTGAACGCTCCCTCGGTAATTGTGCCCCTCACACTCCAGTTCCTGGAATGGTGCTAAAGTCTGAATGGGATCTGGAGGTCACCAAGACATAACTCTCCCCCAAATACCCTTCCTCTCCCTAAGATTTTTCCCCTTAGTTAGTTCATTCTTAGCTGATCCGGGTAAGCGATTAAAGCTCCTTCCTGGTGGGAAGCAGAATGAAATACTGCACATCCTGTCCTCAGATTCTGACAGGGCTCCCATTCATGTCATCTTAGCACTGGGCACCTCCACTCTTCCGCCCTCCCACTGCTACGTTCTGCAGAGGAGATCTAAGCATCTCACTTCCCGAAAGGGAGTTCTGGCATCTGCTTCCTCCAGCTGTGCTTCATGGGATGAAGTCGACAGTGTGTCAACCGTAATAGCTTTTCAGCTGAGCGTTAACCAGTTTGCTCAGCAATAAAGATACCAGGCAAGAGTAGTACCTGCTCCTAACTGACTGGGGGTTGTAGGACCAGCATTCACTAGGCTTCAGATGTGGAAACTCTCTTTGAACTATGTAACCCTGTGAAGCTTCCATTAATTGAGAATTTGTTCTCAAATGAAAAATGTGATCTCACAGCATCACATATTAGGTGAAGAATCAAAATCAGGGTGTGCATAAGACTTCTATCATGTAAATACCATATATATTCGAATAGAAGACAACCCTGATTATGTCTTATTCAGATGGGCTGCATTAACCTATCCTTGTGGTAAGTTTCCATCAACATGTTTGTCCAATGTGGGCCATGTCTTTTATAGTCATGCTCAATGATTAACTAACTTCATGGTTGGTTTCCATTGCTAAGCACATGTTGCTTTTGGCAGCAGTTTAATGATAGATAATATATTTAGTCATTTTCCTTGTATGTGATTATAAGACAAAGGGCTTTCCCCCCTCCATGCCAAATGGGGAAAACAATCTCATCTTGTATTCAAGTAAATATAGTAATCCTGACTAGATCATATAAAAAATTTAAAATAGCTATTTCCTTCTCTTGCGTTGGAACCCTTTCCCTGCTACCAATGCCATCTTTCTATATAGCACACAGTACAGTCTTTTAATACAGTAGTGCTTTTTTTTTTTTTTTAAACAGAAAGGATTAATTTAGTGTATAGCCTGTTTGCCTTGAGAGGAACCCAAAGCATCAAAGAAACTGAGATACTGCCTATACCCCAAATTTACTTCACCCTATCACAGCAACACAGCCATCTGAGAAGAAATATGGTCATTGTACACATGCAGCAACATTACATACTGATTTGGGACATGATATGAAAAACAATACATCCACTTGAAAATGTAGAAGGGAAAGCACTTGTATAGACAGAGATTAATTAATTTTCACTCCTGTGAAAACTGCCACAGCACCTGTGATGACCACAAAAGGTCAAGATGTCTGCTTACATCTCAGCCAAATGACAGCATCTCTAAATAATACAGTGCCCCTTAGCACCCTCATACTAGGGCGTTCAAAATGGATTCTGAGCTAATTCTACCTACTGAGTCACTCACTCTATTCCCTGCAGCACTTCTCTGTTCTCTGGATGTCTCACTGAAATATTAATTCAACCTAGCCCTGCTTAACTTGTGAGACTATGCGATTGCTGCAATGCATTGTACAAAAACTCACCCAGAGATGCCTGAAAAGAGATTTGAACGAGCCCTTGAAAAGCACAGGCAGAGAACTTGCAGTGTTCAAGCTGTGCAGCCAAGGGGACCTTGCGCACAAATCTTAGAGGGCTTTATAGGCTCCTTCACTCTGCCTGATATAAACAGCAGCAGTTCACAGGGCATCTCTGACTGGCTGACCCAGGCTGTCTCAGGCTCCATCTTCCTGCAGAGCAAGGTGGGGATTGTGAGGGGGGGAACTGTTCCCTGCTTGGCTGGAGCAGAAGAGTCCAGTCCAAGTGACATTATCTCCCGGGGGGGGGGGAAGCAAAGGGAGCACAGTGGGGAGGTGAGAGGGTGGGTAGCAAAACACCCTGGGATGCTGGAGGACTGTGCTGTGGCTTCTTTCAAAAAAGAATGCGTCCAGACATTTGTTCTTTCATGAGAAATTCTCTTGGGAGTAGTTAAACCCTGGTGGTTCCCAGGTTATTTTTCTCCTGGAGTGGCCATTTTTGCTCGGAGAAAAAAATCCTGAGTACCTGTATATTCGTGGTTTCTCCTGGAAGAGTAGTGACTCCCCTAGGATAAATTAAATGTCTGTACATTGTCTAAAAGAAGCTTACTTTTCTGCAAAGGAAGGAGAGATTCATACCTTTTCCAGGAGCTGATGGTTTAAGAAAAGCACCAGGGACTGTGAGACTTCCAATAAAATCGAAAGCACTGACAACACCAAGTATATATTATAACTCATTTTACTCCCACTGGTCCTGAGAGCTCTAGAAGGGACAGAAGCCCTCAAATTTTCCTGATTACCAGGAAATATCACAAATAAAACCCCTTCCCCTCTTTTGACTGGTAGTGCAACCTTGGTGACTTTTTATGCCAAAAGAAAATAGACAGAAAACCTTCCAGGAAATTAGAGACTATAAGTCTGATCTTATAACACTAATCTGAACAATGATAGGACTTGTGGAATAGGCAGACATGTTCCAGTAATTTATAGGAAAAGGCCAGCTGGCTAAAATTTTCTGGAGTTTTTTAAAAGCAGAGAGCAGCGTTGGGATTCCTTGGATTTTAGTAATCTTAAGGCCAAAAAACACAACGTAGGACGGTACTGAACAACTCTGAAGCTAGTCACTGATGCTAAAATTAGGTTTGACAGTTGAGTCTTTTGCATTATCATTTGAAGGGACCTATGGAATAAGACACAGGCCCAGATAAATAGGGTAGCCCCTTCATTTTCATTTATGTCAGCAAATAAGTCTTCTTATGTTCCCAAAAAAGCAAAGCAAGCTCTTGAGGTTTCTATGGATGCCCAAGTGGAACTCAGACCTACAGGCATCCTCACGTGTTAACAATCTAATCTATACGAAAGAGAGCAGAACCGGATTCTAGGTCAGGTCTGTGTTCTCACAAGCCAGTTTCTCAAACTTCAGATGTCTCACTCAATCAACCAGAGCAGGGACCTTTTTCTCTCTCTCCACTTCAACTCTGAACATGAAGGACTGGTAGGCCACAATGCAAAAGGCTGAGATTTTACACTGATAAAGCTTTTATCTAAATGAGTCCAATCATTGCAGCTCAGGAGGCTACACACCATAGTAAAAAATGTAATTTAGGATACTTTTTTTTCTTTGGTCACCTGTGAGACTGGCAAGTGGTGATAAGAGTCTACCATCTCTTCACTTGTTGAGTGTGAGAAAAAGGTAACCGTGCTAAATCAAAATCCTTGGCTCAGGCACCTCAATCATAGCCCTTGTAGATTCCTAAACTTAATAATCAGGTGTCCTGAATAACATCTATAAAACCTAAAAAAAACACTTCCTCTATGGAGTTACTGTATCATTGCTTTTCCACTGTGGCATCAGTAAAGTTCTCAGGTTATTTTGAGATGAAAAAGTAGCCTGCATCCTCTTTAACCTCACAGCATGTCCCAATTCAAATGTATGTCTAAGAAATGGAGAAACTAGAGCACCCTGCACTGCTGGCAACAAAGCACTTGGTACATATTCACAGGACATATATATGTGTCATAGCAGAAATACTACTCCATCTGCACCAAAAGTTCCTGAGCCCACAGAAACAGGAGAGATGAATGCTTTGTAAAATGTACTGTGGGCAGTATAGAGACCAGAAGTGATCAATTCAGGTTGCCAAACATTTACTGACAGATGAAATCTACATACTTCCTTTCTGGTTTGCAGGAGGAAAAAAGAATTCAAATTCCATACAGAGCTTCTTGGAGTCAGGAACTTAAACAAAGATGTGACAGAAGTCTTATCTCGGTGCCACCTGTTTCAGTTTGTTTTGAAGGTCAGCACCAATTTCCTTAGTGCCTGAAAGCAATTACTGGGAATCATTTAAGTCACGGGTGTCCAACCTATGATATGGGCATCCTCTGTATGTAACCCATAGCAGATCAGGGAGGGAGCAGGGAACACAATGCCAGATAGGGCAGGGAGCAGAAAGCAGAGCAGGCAAGAGAAGGTGATTAGAGTGGCACTTGGGGAGGGTGTGGGCCTTACCTTGCAGCATGTCTGCCAAAAAGGTTGGCCTCTACTGATTTAGGCAATGTGGTACAGATCATTTTGTAAGTGACAGTTCACACTAGGCCTACTGACACTGAGGCCAGCTTTATGACATCACAGGTGTTGCCAAAGTAGCTCAAGACTCAACACTTTTGGTCAACACAGCCTATTTCCTTGCACATATATCCCAGGCTGGTACTGCACAAGCAAACTAATGACTGAAGCAAATGACAACACAGAGTTATAGAGCCTAAACAATTCTGCTGAACTGAAATGGCATGAACCCCATAAATGGTTCTTCTCCACCAGGGAAGAAAGAAAACAAATATGACTGAGGCAGCAGTGAAAAAGCACTACACCTTGTGCTGAGAAACTGGAGTAAGTGCTGATGCCTACTTCATGGTCCATGAGTTTGTGAAATACAATATAGCAAGGTGATTCAGGGTTTGGTCTATCAAGAAAAACGTGCCAAACAGCGCGGCAAAGGCTGGAACACTGCTGTGTCTGCCAGCACGTCTGGTATATCAATGAAAACTCTAGCCTCAAAATGTGCTGCAGTTTTTTGAGGTGCCTCAACATGGAACTTAAACATTCATGAAGGACTAGCTAAAAGGTATGAATGAGAAAACCTGGTAAGAATACAAGGTGGTGCTGACAGAAAAGCTGGATCCCTGCAGAAGAGTAGATTCCAAGAGGGAGTTCCTCTGCTAGCAGGCTGTGATGTTTGGAGGACAGTATATATACCTGGCATAAGATGGTGCATGAAACCTAGTACTGGTCCTGACATAGCCTGAAGTACGCTGACCTTTAACAAAGTAGTAGGTGGGAAAAGCCTAAGGAAATCTACCAGCCTCACATGTCTATACAGCTTGCATGGTGGTCTCAGGAACTCTGCTCTTGAGCATGCTTTGCCCATACACTGCCACTCTGCTTGCATGAGAACTGGATGAGGTTGTGAAGTCACACTCTGAAAGCGTCCTCTGCCTCTGGTCAGCTTGAGAGCAGGAGAGATCATTAGGGTGGCTTCACTGCCTCATTTCCAATTTTGGTTCATGAACAGCAGGAACAGGTAGATAAGGGAAGCTTTGGGGTGGTGTTCCCGAGACTACTGCAGAAGTATTATAGACATATACATACTAATGAACGAGGAGTGGGAATCTTGTGCAGATAATATATGACATTTTGGAAATAACCTGCATTCTTAGATTACAAAGTAGGATAAACGATTGTTATTCCCATTTGGCAGCTGGGGAACCAAAGACAAAGAGAGGTAGAGGTCACTCAGTGGGCAGAGCAGTTAAAGAGCATTAACGTCTCCAAATCCTAGTTTATTCATTTCCCAGCCCTTATACCCACCCTAACAAGAAATATGCTGATATAAGGAAAGGTGATATTTTAAAACAAATCATCACTTAAAAACAAAGCCAAAACAAACATTTCAGAGTCAGTAGAATTCTAAAAACTTCCTAGAAATCACAGCTCCATACCTTTTCCCATTCTCCCTACACTGGTCATCATAGCTGACCAAAACAAGTTCAAATATGAATCCAAACTAGCAAATCATCGCTAGTGAATCTTTTATGATCCATGCTTGTCTTGTTAACATTTGGCTTTCAAATGCTCGCCATCATAAACCATGTTCATTTCTTCTGTTCTTTTTCTAAGCAGCTAGTTTAATGTGCTTAAAGCTTTTTTTCTTTTTCATAAATCAAAATTCACCACTGAGAACAATTATGTTAATACTGCCAGGAAATTTGTTTGCTTTGTTAAATTGAGCTTCAAAAGCATTTCAATTGAACACACATTTGCGATTGCAAGTAATGTCTATTCTTATATCCATTCAAAATGTTTACTTTATTACAGCTTATTATAAATGTGCTGTCTAAAATGCAGCAGCATGACTGTTCAATTTCCAGGCCATAATTTTATGATAATCATATGTAATATATTCACGTGTCACCTCTGCTGCCTAACAAAGCCCCAAACTGGTTTGTTCGCAGCTCTGCTTTCCCTGTGGCTCAAATTTCTGTCTCAGAATATTATTAAATAACACAATTAAGAAAGACTTAATCATCATTTTCAGTTTATTTTATGATCTCATATTTAGACTACACTAGATAAGAAAGCAAAATATAATCTCAGAAACTGAATCTTGGTATATTTACAATATCCAATGTTGGTAAGATAAGTAATATGTAAATTATTAATCATGTCATGCAACTGTTATTAGGAAGGTGGGGGTAGGGAGTAAAAGTGTTAACATTTTGAGAAAAACACTGTTATTGCTTGAAAGCATCAGAGCATTGGAATTCTCTCCTCTCTTTGCAAAGACCAAAATGATATGTGTATGAAGTAAATCATCATTTAATCTCATACATGTTTTAAAATGTTTTCCATTTTTGCCAATGGCATATTTATGAAGATCTAGCTCATTTTTTCTCATGCATTTCAGATGTAGCTCCCACTTGCTGATGTTCTTTATACCAGAACACAAAGGTTTAAAGGGACACTTCTTGAATTGCAAAACTGAGATTTCATAATCAAAGAACATTTCTTCCATAAAAGGGCCATGTTCTTTCACTTAATTTAATAGTTTAGCATCAGCAAAGGCTACCAGAAATCACAGTGTCTGCCCAGAAAAAGTAATTCAGTACTGTTAAGTATGGATTTAATCATATACCTTGTGATGTTTAGGGTTTTCCTTAAAGCCCTTGTTCTTGGATTCATATGATTACATCAGAATCTTAACTTCTTTTTAAAAGTGAACTTCTAACCCTTGCAGTTGTAGAAAAAGAATGAAAAAAACCCGCCTTGTGGTACCAGTCAGTCACCAGGTGGACTAGCAGGGGGCAAGGGGCTTATTGATAAACCAGCCAGAAGGAGGAAATGTCTTCCTGCTTGGCTCTCAACCACAAATGTATGATGCCTCCCCACCCCGCCCGATTGTTCTTCCTTCCCTTTTTCTTGATTTAGTCTTTGGTTTGGTTTGAAAGTTGTGTTTTGGGTTTCCTAGGATACTGGTTGGAATTGGTAACTTCTACAGGTCATGTGGACCACAACAACTGTGCAGTATAGGTACTTGTTCACTTGACATTTTTAAGCATGAATATTAATAGGTCCTTGAAGAACTACACCATATGTTCACACATACAATATACCCCCTAACCCCAAATAAGAAACACACCTTGTTTTTGAGAGGCAGAATGAAACAAAAAAAAAATCTTTCCTGAAAAATACTGGAAAGTAGCAGTAGGTAACTGAGTAGCAGCATCTGCAGGGGGAAAGAGACAGTGTTCACAGCCAGCCTTTAGAAAGCACCACGTACAGCACTGCAGCGTTACTTGCACTGCCCCCTGCCTCCCAGCAGGGACAGAAACTGTTATTGCTGTACTTCTTTGCTTATGTCCACCCAATTTCCAGCAGCTGAATTTTGGAAAAAAGGTGTGTTCTATGTGAGGAAAATATGGTAACAGAAATACAAATCTAGAGGACTTCCAAGAACTTTTAACAGTCAGATGGCCTAGGCAACTTGTGCAATTTGTACACATCTACAGCCTTAGTAGGTTTGTTTGTTTACTACTTTATTAACTTTATTAACAAATCAGGACAGTTTATTTTGGGTTATTAATATGCCATCTATTTAAAAGTTTCATAACTTTGCAAGGCCGGTGCTGGCATAAAGAGGACACAACTCACATTTTACTAATTTTACTAAATTTGGCTATGCCAAATCCCAGAGATCAGGAAGCTTAAGAAGCCATCTTTTCCCTTGAACTTTCCATTGCACACCATTCTCAGGAAAGGGAATTGAATATTTTTTCCTATTCTTTTAATATTGTACTGTAGGTTAACAGTATAATAAACTGTAGGTTAATCCCCTATACATTTTCAGTCCTCACTCTAACTTAATGAAAATATTTCATTTAGTTGACCTCTGAGGCTTGACCAAAGGTAACTAAAGAATAGTACCTTTTGATCACCGATTAGATGTCCTTTCTTAAAGAGATTCTTTCTTAAAGAGACTGCTCTCTTGGATGTCCAAGGCTCTGACTTAGAAACAAGCTGTGTGTGGGGTGACTTGAATCTTAAGTCTATGGACAGACACTCAGTTTGTCTAGGGAAATTTCCAAGAGAAAACACGAGCGTACAAATGTTCATAATTTTTCTCCCAGAGTACAAATGGCCACTCTGGGTGAAAAATAACTTGAGAACATCCCAAGTGAAGTGGCTCCCAGGAGAATCTCTCTCAAGAGACCAAACATCTGTACAGTCAGCTACTGAATATAAGGGCTTCGCCTGGATGCTTAGTAACATCACGACCCATCCCACAACAGACAACTGGTGTCACAAAGTGTTACTATTCCACCCGAGGAAGAAAATCATTGGGAGTGGACTCAGTCTTATACAATAAAGCTCTTGCTTACAAGCAAATATGCAGAAAAATAGGAAAAGAATGGGGAAAGGAGAAACAGATGATACTTTAAAACAAATAGCAATAGCTTTCCAATTCAACAGCTCTCTCTTTGATAATCTCAAAATGCTTTACAAATATTAAGCTGCCCTGATGGCTTTTTGTGTTAAAAAGTATCTAAATTTTACAGGGCAAAAAATGAGGTAAAGAGAAACTGACTTGCCACAGTTCACACGGTGACTTAGTGGCAGACCCAAGAGCAGCAATGAAATACTGTGGTTTACAGTTCTTTGCTATGTCTACTAGATAGTAATGCCAAACAGAAAATGGCCTTTAAACAGGATGTCTTCTCAAAGTTTGGAACAAAGCAGTAAGTAGGCCTGTAATTAAGTTGTGTACATTGGTATCAGGTTTCACCATCTTTTATTTATCCAAGTAACCTGGCTCCTTCGTCTTGTGAGTTATTCAGTGATGCCTTTAGTTTGGCTTCCTTTTAAGTTAAATTCTTCTGAAGCCCATCTATACTACCCCAATTCTACAATAATGGCATCCACAGTATACCCAGTAGAAGCCCCGATTCCTACTCATATTGGGAAAAGAGGAAATCCTGGTATAGGAAACTACTGGAATAGTTCTTGTTCACATTATTATAGCCAAGGACCAAAGAAATGTTGTTTTCAATTTGCTATTTACAAGCTGCTCTATATTGCTCTTAGTATTGCTCAACTTCTGGTATAATCTGCCAGGTTGTTTTTTTTCTGTGAGTTAAAGCTCTAACAACATTTCAAGAGTTTAGTTGCAATACTTTTGAATTGGCCTAGCCTGGCCCATCTTGAACAGCAAACACATCAGGAGAATTTTTTTTTACCAAGGACTACTTGAATGTGAAGTGAAAATGGAGAGTTGTTAAGTCTGTTATTCTATTCTACCTGGACATTACTAAGATATAAGCCAGATAGGGTATTTTACTTCTTGCATAATGTTGCATGCAATTTTTAGTATCAAAACCTTTGGGATTCATTTTTTTAGTTTTGAAATCAAAATAATTACACAAATCCATTTGTTTGCATACAAATAAGCATACTTATAGGGTAATTCCTATCACCATTGGGTTTTGACAATTCTGAGCAGTTCTAGGCATTCATTCAAGGGGGAAATGCCCAGGTTACAGATTCCTATAGGCACTGGTGATGCTGAGCTACCAGTTGCAGACTTTCTCTTGGATGAAATGTTCTACTCCCAACCACACCAGGGGTTCCAGGAGATCCTTGAAAGGAAAGGCTCCGGTTCTCTGCAATGGAAATGGGGCTTCTACTGACCCTTTACTTACCCTTTAGAGATATATATATATAGGCTGAAGCAGAGATGAACACCTCAACCAATGATACTGAAGAGCATCTAGCATGCTATCCTTGAATTTGCTCACTGAAAATTCATTAATCTACTTCTGATTACAGTAAGGCAGAAAGCAAGGTAAGGTGGCACCTTAGAGACTGAGAGAGGCACGAGCTTTTGTAGGCAACAACCTACTTCATCAGGCACTGGACAGCAGGAACTGCGTTCCGATTTACAGGTTTTATACAAATGTTCCATCTTGGCTTGAGTCCTCATGTAGAAGCCTGGGAAGATAAATATTAGTTGGGTGTTCTAAACTGAACAAGCTTCTCCACTTGAAAGCAAAAGTGAACTATAATAGAGTTTATTCAAGAGTGGGGGGAGAAGGGGGGGGGCGGGAGACAAACAAATAAATAAATCCTGTGTTGTTGCCTATGAAAACTCATTCCACTCTGAACTAGTTAATCCCTAAGGTGCCATCCGGCCTTCCTTCTGCCCAACTTCAGACTAACATGGCTAAGCATCTCTTGATTACAGTAAGTAAAGCTAAAAATCAATAGATTCATTTATTAAAACAAATTCAATGCCTCGCCTAATCAGAAGGAAAGAATATCTCTTTGCAACTCATTTGATTACAAAGTCATTGATAGACAATATTTATGTACCAAGTAAATAGCAATTCAATGAATTTGGTAACATGTAAAAAGAGATGTTGTATATCTGCAGTTTCATTTTCTGTAAATACAACAATGTCTATAGTTCTTGGCAGTAAGGAGTGGGAGGCCAACACAAAGCTGTTAATGATACTGCCACATTTTTTCATCTTTCTTTTACACTATTTTTTCCAAAGTGCTATTTTTTCCAAAGTGCTTTGCTATACAATAAACATTTAGTCTTCAGAGAGAAGCAGAAGTGGCATTTTGCAAATCTTCAATTTATTGAAACAACAACATCACCAAGCTTTGTTGCTTTTTATCCTTATTTTCATTTTTGCCAGAAAGATGAAACTGTTGTTGTTTTACTGTTGTCATGCAAGAACTAAATGACCTCATTGTCAACTGTTACACACCAAGATACTACATTACTACTGCTACCTGGAATTTTATTTTATATTTCCTTCTCCCAGAGGAGGTACTCCTCAAAGACTATAACTTTGGAAAAATGTGTGAAGCAGGATATAACATGTAGTAATAAAGCAGACAAATGTCACGTGTTGGGTACTTAAAGACTAAATGCACAAGAGGGCTAAATTAAGATTGCACAGGCACTTTAATTGGGAGAATCCCTAAAAGTCGAGTGTATGACTTTCACTGCCGTAGCAATGAAGTTTGGTGCCCGGGACAAAGCCCACAGCAGCAGCTCAGCCTTGACCCGCACATACATCCAAGGGGCACATGCCCCCCCCCCCACCCATGCTTGCCAGGGAGAGCACACAGCAACAGGAGCTGCCCTTCCCCCGTCCCCTCCAATGAGCTGCTCGCAGCTCTGTTGTGTGCCCCACACTAGGTGGGTAGCACCAGTTAGTTCCCCTTTACTTCAGTGCCCAGGGCAGTCACCCCGCTTGCCCCGCTTTGCTATGGCACTGATGACTGCAACTGTAACATTTATTTAACGGGGGGGTTTCTTTACTTGGTTTCCAAAATTAAAATAAAAGCACACTTAGAGAACCACACTGATCTCCATCTTGGGTCATTAACTATATCCCAAACAATAGAACCACAGCATACCTCTCCTACCATTTAGCCCAATGGAGTAACTGGAAACAACAATAGGATGATATCTATAACAGTGCTTCTCAAGCAGGGTGCCATGAGATCATTTTAAGAGTGCCATGCAATAGTAGCACTGTTAGATCTGCAAACACCTACATATGATTCACAAGATAAATCCAGAGATGTCAAACAGGAATCCATAGCATCAAAAACACTCTGACCTGTTGTGGTCTTTGTATTCTTTGCAATGAAAAAATGCTCTATTATTTTTCCATAGTCAAAAATGAATGAAAGTCAAGAGCTGGCATTTTCTGGGGGGTGCCTTGATTCTAAAAGAACCACTGATTTAAATGGACTAGTCACTAGAGGGGTTGCTTAAAAGTGGGTTTCACAATTGTTTGCCACGAACAGAAAAACAGTCAGTGGAATGATTTGGAAAGAGGGTACTTTACACAGCTTTCTGCCTGTCTCTCTCTACTTTACACAGCTTTCTCATCAGTCTCTGCCCCTCTGTTCCTACCCAATTTGCCCTTCCCAAATATTCCATACCCCTTTAGTACTGGCAAAATTGTATACAAAGGTATCTTATCATAGGATGAGATGTGCAATCTTATAGGAAGTGCTTTGCCTATGGTAAATGTAGATCATATAGTCTCTCTATGTAAGTAGAGATGTCTCAGCCTTCTACCACTTTCCGTGTACTCCTTTTCTCATGCTTTTCTACATCTTTCTTGAATGGGAAACAGAATTTGCACAAAATTCCAGACAGAGGTCACAGCAAGTGTCATAGTTACGAGGCCAGTAGCACCTCTG